AGATAATGTTATAAGATAGATGGGGGGGGGGGGGGGGGGGGGGGGGGGGGGGGGAATTTATTAAAAGTGGAACTGACAGAATCTAGAGCAACTGTGTATGGCAACCAATCAGATTCTGTCTTTCCTTTTCAAAGCTTAACTGAACATGCAGAAGATAGAAGATGATTGGTTGCCACACTCAGCTGCTGCAGATTCTGATTGGTCCATGTGACGGTGCTGACCAATCAAAAGTCCTAGCCTGAACTGTAATCTCTGCAAGGAGAGGAAAAAAAGTGGCGGGAATTTCAAATCCCTGCTGCTTTCTCTCCTCTCCTACCACTGAGACTCTGAACTTGGGCTATGGGCAAGTCTGGGTTCACACAAGAGCAGTGGGGAAACCGCATGCGATTTGGACAGGAATTGCATGCAATTTGATTCCATGAATGCAAATGGCACTGCAGAGCATCGGTAATCGGTATTGGCGATTACTTGACCGTAAGTATTGGTACTACTACTCGCCAATTAAAAAAACAGTATCAGTGCATCCCTAATTTAAAGGAAAGTTATAATTTACAAAATTAAAATGTACTGTACATAGAGACTTCTTATTATATTATGAACCTTTACGACACTATTCAGAATTTTCCTGTTGAAGGCACAGGTTCACATTAACTAGTTAGAGAATAACCAAGAAACAGTCCGTTTAGAACCCGTTCTTATAGCAGGGATTGGCAGCCTTTTGCAGTTAAGTGTGCCAGTGAACAACAGAGCATTATAATCTTAGTTTAATTAAGTGTACAATAATAAATGAGTTTATTGTGCCATTAGCAGTATAACTATGAGTGCAAAAATTAACTGGTGCTCACAGAAAACACGTTCAGCCCCAATGTATGCACTTCAGACCTCAGATCAACCCCAATGTATGCACTTCAGACCTCAGATCAACCCCAATGTATGCACTTCAGACCTCAGATCAACCCCAATGTATGCACTTCAGACCTCAGGCCAACCCCAATACATGTACTTCAGACCTCAGATCAACCCCAATGTATGTACTTCAGACCTCAGATCATCCCCAGTGCATGCACTTTAGACCTCAGACCAACCCCAATACATGTACTTCAGACCTCAGATCAACCCCAATGTATGTACTTCAGACCTCAGATCAACCCCAATGTATGTACTTCAGACCTCAGATCATCCCCATGCATGCACTTTAGACCTCAGATCGACCCGAATGCATGTACGTCAGACCTTAGATTGGCCCCAATGCATGCACCTCAGGCCCCAATGCATGCACTTCAAACCTCAGATCAGCCCCAATGCATGTACTTCAGACCTCAGAGCAGCCCTAATGCATGCGCTTCAAACCTCAGATAAGCCTCCATATATGTGCTTCAGACCTTAGATCAGCCTCAGTGTATGAACGTCAGACCTCAGATCAGCCCAAATGCATGCACTTCAGACCTCGGATTGGCCCCAATGCATGTGTCTCAGATCAGCCTCAGTGCATGTGCTTCAGTCCTCAGAGCAGCCTCAATAAATGCGCTTCAGACCTCAGATCAGCCCCAGTGTATGCACTTGAGACCTTAGATCATCCCCAATGCAAGTACTTCCGAACTCAGATCAGCCCCAGTGCATGTACTTCCGAACTCAGATCAGCCCCAGTGCATGTACTTCCGAACTCAGATCAGCCCCAGTGCATGTGCTTCAGACCACAGATCAACCCCAGTGCATGCACTTCAGACTTTAGAGCAGCCCCAATACATGCACTTCAGACCTCAGATAAGCCTCAATATGTACACTTCAGACCTCAGATCAGCACCAATGCATGCACTTCAGACTTCAGATCGGCCCCAATGCATACACTTCAGACCTCAGATCAGCCACAATGCATGTGTCTCAGATAATTTATTATATATTATTATTATTATTAATATTATTATTATATAATTCATTTAATTTGCCATCAGCAGTACAACTATGAGTGCAAAAAGTGATTGACTGTTGCACACACAAAACATGTTCAGCAGCAGTGCATGCACTTCAGATCTAAGATCAGCTCTAATGTATGCACTTCAGACCTCAGAGCTGCCCCAATGCATGCTGACCACAATGCCCCATGAACTTCAGTCCTCAGATCAGCCTCAATGCATGCACTTCAGACCTCAGATCAGCCCCAGTGTATGCACTTCATACCTCAGGTCAGCCCTTCATGCACTCCAGCCCTCAGATCATCCCCAGTGCATGTTCTTCTGAACTCAGATCAGCCCCAGTGCATGTGCTTAAGACCTCAGATCAGCCCTATTGTATGTGCTTAAGACCTCAGATCAGCCCCAGTGCAGTCATCTTATCAACCCCAATGCATACACTTCAGATCTCATATTAGCCCTAATGCATGCACTTTAGACCTCAGATCAGCCCCAATGCATGAACGTCAGACCTTGGATCACACTTGATTGGATTTGTTGACACCTGTCTTATAGTAATAAAAAGTGTCTTCCCCTAACACTGCTCCTAGAGATTCCCAGGATAGAGTGTTACTGTTTCACATCAATGTGTAAAATCTGGAATTGCAGTATGACCCTTAATTGCAATGGTATGAATGTATAAAAACCACTGCATGTTATAGGTCAGAATGCAGTCTGTTAAGCAGTGTAATTATTTGGGTTGGATTTCTGTTTAGTACAGGGGCAGTTGGAGGTGAGAGCCCCTTATGTTACTTAAACCAGAACTCTATTGAAGAATAAATTTAGATGAAAAATTTGTTCAAACAATATAAATCACATTTTTGTACACAACATGCATATGCAAATCAAGATATAACCTTTATAAAAGTAGCAGTGACATAACCGCTGTGCTGCATATATCCTGTGCAGAAAGTAGGAGTGGGAGGGACCCAACAGGTCCACCAACCATAGGCTGCCTGCAGATAATTACAGGAGGGGGCAGATACAAGACCAATCACCCTTCACAAGGAGAGAGAGCTGCAGTGACTGGTCTTTATTACAGGAAGCTCCTGCACAGTTTTATGTTGGAACTGCTGCACAGATCTGGAAGAAGTACACAAAGCACATCTAGATTCAAGTAAGAATTACCTTTTTGATCGACAGCAGGTAGAAGAGGTTTTTACTGCACAGTTCATTCCAGATGTTTAGTCAGTGATGAATGTTGTGTCATTTCATATATTTGTGTCAGTTTATTTTAATTACTTTCTTGCTATGCAAACATATACAAATTGTTATTATAGACTTCAATTTTCTTTATTTGAAAAGGTATCTACTCCTGCTTGTTTCGGGTGGGGTAAGGTAGAGTTTCATTGCTAGGTGTTTACAGCTGCCTGTTGCCATGGAGTGAGATTTCCCTCACCTCTTTTCTTACTGTATTCCTGGAAGTAAATGTTTGTATGGGAACCATTAATCTACAGATGAATAGTGACAATTTATATCTGAGACTATATAGTGCTGATTATTGTAGACATACTGATCCACTGTACTCATTGTAAAGTCTGGCTTTTGTGTGAAGTATCAGAATTTGGCAGACTTCTGTCGAATTCCTTGAAAGTTTGCTTAGGTGAAATGCTTTCACTGGTTTAAGCAATGTCTTATCCTACTGATATTGTAGGTTAAAAGAAACTGTTTCATAGATTAGATTTGTCCTGACATTGGTAAAGTACCTCTAAAGTAGTTATAAAGACTATTTTTTTAAGTGGTTGTAAACCTGTACATATACCCAGTGAAGGGACTGTCCTCAGATGATACATAGAGATTAAACAAATCCTCCTACATAAGTTGTACCTGTTTATCTGCAGTCTTCTCTTCTTTACGTCAATTCAAAGTGTAGAATTTACACAGAATTCTCAGCTCTGAAAACCAGGGGGCAGAGAGCTGAAGTTACATTGATGAGGAGAGCTCCAAGAGCTGATTGGAGGGAAGGGACACACACCCCCTTCACACAGCACACAGGAACAGAGATGAGGCTGTTAATCTGTAACATACCTGATGGAGGAGCCTGAAGCATTGGGTAAGCAGGTGGTAATGGCAGAAGGAGCAAGCAGAGACATGGTGCAGAGACAAGCCAGGAGTCGGTACAGGCAGCGTTTAGAGCAGAGTCAGAGGCAGACCGGGTCAATAACAGAAGATCAACCAGTAGCTGGTATCAGGAACACAGGAATGCAATAGACCAAACTGCACTGACAGACTGCAATAGTACAGTTTAAATAGCCCTTCTAGCGCCAATGTACATTTCCGCATGTGCCCGCATGCACAGCTGTTTGCCTATATGCATGTGCACCTGCAACCCGGTTACATCGCAGGCACAGTTCCTCAGATTTGGGCACCTGCACACATGGGGGTTCCTTTCCTGACACAATCGCAGACTGTGCCCTCCCCTGTCACCATTTTTCTCTTGGTGTCAGGAAAATTTGTTAGAAGTGACTGATGCTTATAGCAGAGGAACAAAGCAGCAGACAGAATTGACAGTGCTCTGAATTGAGACAAACACACTATACAGGAATATGCTGTGTTCATACCTCATGTCTGAGGTTTACAACCACTTTAACCACCTGCCCTCCTGAGCATTTACGCCCCCCCTCCCCTCCTGACCAGGCCATTTTCTGCATTACGGCGCTGTGTTACTTTAGCTGACAATTGCGCGGTCATGCAAAGCTGCACCCAAATTAAATTTATGTCCTTTTTTCACACGAATTGAGCCTTCGTTCGGTGGTATTTGATCGCCTGTGTTTTTTTTTATTTTTTTTGCACTATATAATAAAAAAAAAGACTGACAATTTTGAGAAAAAAACTATATTTTTGAATTTTTGCTATTAAACATGTCCAGTAAAAAATAAAATTTTGTCATGTATGCTAAAATGTATTCCGGTACATGTCTTTGCTATAAACAAATCCCAATATATGTAAATTAGTTGGTTTACGTGAAAGTTATACCGTTTACAAATGGCAGTATAGATACTGGAATTTTGAATTTTTTAATTTTTACTAGTAATGGCGGCGATCAGTGACTTATAGCGAGACTACAGTGGGCATTCTGACACTGAGGGGAACTGACTTGGTGTCACTGACATCTCCAGTGACAACAATAGTGATTAGTGCTATAAAAACCCCCACTGACTTTTGTACTAATGGCACTGGGCAGGAAGGGGTTAACATGAGGGGTGATCAAAGGGTTAACTGTGCTGGGAGTGTTTTTACTATGGGGCCATGTGTTTTTGCTTCACTGTGAGCACACTGCTTTGTATGGCTGTGCTGTGAACAGCCATGCAAAGCAGTATGCAGGAGCTGAGAGAGAGGAAAACTGTTTTGTTTACAAACAGTTCTCCTCCCTGTCGGAGATCCTCGGCAATCACCGGGGCGCCGGCGAGTCATATTTGGCAATCACCGGGGCGCCAGCGAGTAATCACCGGCTGGGACCTGGTGATTGACAGCTGCAGCCGCGCGCGCGCCCCCTACCCTGAAATGCAAAATCACACAGACACACACACACACACACACACACACACACACACACACATATATATATATATATATATATATATATACAGTGAGGAACAGAAGTATTTGAACGCCCTGCAATTTTGCAAGTTCTCCCACTTAGAAATCATGGAGGGGTCTGCAATTCACATTGTAGGTGCATTCCCACTCTGAGAGACAGAATTTAAAAAACAAATTCAGGAAATCGCATTGTATGATTGCTTTTTAAAGAATTTATTTGTCTTGCACTGCTGAACATAAGTGGTTGAACACCTAAGAAACAGCAAGAATTCTGGCTCTCAAATACCTGTTATTGTGCCTTTAAAAAGTCCACCTCTGCTCCACTCATTAATCTAACTTAGTGGCACCTGTCTGAGCTCCTTAAAAACACCGTCCACCCCACAGTCAGTCAGACGCCAACTACTACCATGGGCAAAACCATAGAGCTGTCAAAAGACACCAGAGACAAAATTGTGGACCTCCACAAGGCTGGAAAGGGCTGCGATGCAGTTGCCAAGCAGCTTGGTGTAAATAGATCAACTGTTGGAGCAATTGTTAGAAAATGGAAGAGGCTAAAGACGACTGTCAGTCTCCCTCGGACTGGGGCTCCATGCAAGATCTCACCTCGTGGGGTATCACTGATGATAAGAAAGGTGAGGAATCAGCGCAGAACTACAAGGGAGGAGCTGGTCAATGACATGAAGAGAGCTGGGACCACAGTTTCAAAGGTCACTGTCAGTAGAACACTATGCCGTCATGGTTTCAAATCATGCATCGCACGGAAGGTTCCCCTGCTCAAGTCATCACATGTCCAGGCCCGTCTGAAGTTTGCCAATGACCATCTGGATGATCCAGAGGAGGCATAGGAGAAAGTCATGTGGTCAGATGAGACCAAAGTAGAACTTTTTGATCTAAACTTCACTTGTGTTTGGAGGAAAAAGGATGAGTTGCATCCCAAGAACACCATCCCTACTACTGTGAAGCATGGGGGTGGTAACATCATGCTTTGGGGGTGCTTTTCTGTGAAGGGCAAAGGACGACTGCACTGTATTAAGGAGAGGATGAATGGGGTCATTTATTGTGAGATTTTGAGCAACAACCTCCTTCCCTCAGTCAGAGCATTGAAGATGGGTCGTGGCTGGGTCTTCCAACATGACAACGACCTGAAGTACACAGCCAGGATAACCAAGGAGTGGCTCCAAAAGAAGCATATCAAGGTTCTGGAGTGGCCTAGCCAGTCTCCAGACCTAAATCCAATAGAACATCTTTGGAGGGAGCTGAAACTCTGTGTTGCTCAGCGACAGCCCCGAAACCTGACAGATCTAGAGGAGATCTGTGTGGAGGAGTGGGCCAAAATCCCTGTTGCAGTGTGTGCAAACCTGGTCAAGAACTACAGGAAACGTTTGACCTCTGTAATAGCAAACAAAGGCTTCTGTACCAAATATTAACACTCTCAGGTGTTCAAATACTTACGGTATGTTCAGCAGTGCAAGACAAATAAATTCTTTAAAAATCATACAATGTGATTTCCTGATTTTTTTTTTTTTTTAAATTCTGTCTCTCAGAGTGGGAATGCACCTACAATGTGAATTTCAGACCCCTCCATGATTACTAAGTGGGAGAACTTGCAAAATCGCATGTGTGTTCAAATACTTCTGTTCCTCACTGTGTGTATATATGTATGTGTGTGTGTGTGTGTGTGTATATGTGTAATGTATGTGTGTGTGTGTAAATATATATATATATATGTATATGTGTGTATATATATGTGTGTGTGTGTGTGTGTGTATATACAGTTGCAAGAAAAAGTATGTGAACCCCTTGGGATTACGTGGAGATTTGCATGAATTGGGCATAAAATGTGCTCTGAACGTCATCTAAGTCACAACAATAGAAGAACACAGTCTGATGAACATAATACTACACAAACATTAGATGTTGCCATGGTTTAATTGCACATAACATGTAAACATTCACATTGCAGGGAGGAAAAAGTATGTGAGGCCCTAGCTTAATGACTTCTCCCAGAGCTAATTGAAGCCAGGAGTGAGCCAACCTTGACTCCAATCAGTGTGATGATATTGGATGTGTTGCTGACAGCTGTCCTGCCCTTAAAAAACACACACCTGTTTTGGGTTTACTGGTTTCAAGAAGCACTGTCTGATGTGAACCATGCCTCGCAGAAAAGAGCTCTCAGAAGACCTACGATCAAGAATTGTTGACTTGCATGAAGCTGGAAAGGGTTACAAAAGTATCTCCAAAAGCCTTGATGTTCATGTGTCCACGGTAAGACAGACTGTCTACAAATGGAGAAAGTTTAGCACTATTGCTACTCTCCCTAGGCGTGGTCGTCCTGTAAAAATGACTGCAAGAGCACAGCACAGAATGCTGCATGAGGTAAAGAAGAATCCCAGAGTGTCAGCTAAAGACCTACAGAAATCTCTGGCACATGCTAACATTTTTGTTGACACATCTACAATAAGGAAAACATTAAACAAGAATGGAGTACATGGGAGGACACCACGGAGGAAGCCATTGCTGTCCAAACAGAAGATTCCAGCACGGTTGAAGTTTGCAAAAGAGCACCTGGATGTTCCACAGCACTACTGGCAAAATATACTGTGGACAGATGAAACCAAGATTGAGTTGTTTGGGAAGAACACACAACACTATGTGTGGAGAAAAAAAGGCACAGCACACCAACATCAAAACCTCATCCCCACTGTGAAACATGGCGGAGGGAGCATCATGGTTTGGGGCTGCTTTGCTGCCTCAGGGCCTGGACGGATTGTTGTCATTGATGGGAAATGAATTCCAGAGTTTATCAAGACATTTTGCAGGAAAACGTACGACCATCTGTCCGCCAACTGAAGCTCCGCAGAGGATGGGTGATGCAACAGGACAATGACCCAAAGCATACAAGTAATTCAACAAAACAATGGCTGCAACAGCACAGAATACGCCTTCTGGAGTGGCCCAGTCAGAGTCCTGACCTCAACCCGATTGAAATGCTGTGGCATGACCTTAAGAGAGCGATTCACACCAGACATCCCAAGAATATTGCTACAGTTTTGTGAAGAGGAGTGGTCCAAAATGACTCCAGATCATTGTGCAGGTCTCATCTGCAACTACAGGAAATGTTTGGTTGAGGTTATTGCTGCCAAAGGAGGGTCAACCAGTTATTAAGTCCAAAGGTTCACATACTTTTTCCTCCCTGCACTGTGAATGTTTACATGTTATGTGCAATTAAACCATGGCAACATCTAATGTTTGTGTAGTATTATGTTCATCAGACTGTGTTCTTCTATTGTTGTGACTTAGATGACGTTCAGAGCACATTTTATGCCCAATTCATGCAAAACTCCACGTAATCCCAAGGGGTCACATACTTTTTCTTGCAATTGTATATATACATACACACACACACACACACACACACGTGATTGTGCACACCCGTGCCGCCCTGTAGCAGTATTTCTACTATAGGGTGGTCGGGAAGCGGTTAAATAACAAACATGTTATACTTACCTGCTTGAATACAAACCTTCTCTTCTGGGGTTCCCCTTCAGTGTTCTCTGCTCCTCGTCTCCAGTGCCTGCTTGCTATGGGGGGCAAACTTCGCTCCCAAGCTGGGCTGTGTGTGTCGCCGTAGACGCACACAGTGTGGCTTTGCCCCACCCCTTGTTCCCTGCTGATAGGATTTGATTGAAAGCAACAGGAGCCAATCAGCAAAGACGAGCCTGAACTGGTATAGACAGGCACAGCGCTGGATCGAGTGAGGTAAATATTTAAGTGGGATGAGGGGGACATTTTTTACCTTAATTCAGGAAATGCATTAAAGCAGTATTAAATCCCAAGCCAAAAATGTAATACATTGCAGCTTGTCAATAATTAGATGTGGTGATTGCATTTGTTTTTTTTAGGCTTTTTCCCCTGTTTTTACCTGGTGATCTGGCCAGTAACACACCTCATGCATTAGAGTGACTACACTCTGGATGAAGGAGCACAGGGCGCACCTCTGGACAGCATTGTCAGTCTGCAGCTGAATGTTTGCTTGTGGGTTTAATACAAAAATGTCTTGGCTTTAGAACAACTGTAAAGATCTTTCATGGAACACTTTGTCACATTCAGCTTCTATCTCACCCTTCTCATATTATGTGCCAGTTTACAGCAGGATACATGTGCTGATTACCCCCTGGTGTGTGTCTTTTTATCATTTATACTTCCTGAAGCATGTATGCGTAATGCCAATAATTCACCGGCTGTGTGTGCACATTTTCTAAAGTACCCATCTGTTTTTAAATCATTAACATTACCTACTACTGTTTGCTTTGCATATGTTCTGTTGGCAGAAATTAATATTATGAAAACAAATTTTGGTCAGGTTTGTTGCTGCCTGTTGCTGTCTCCCTTTAGGAAGTTTTTTTTAACGTTTCTTGCCCCAGAATCTGTGGTCACCAGGACAGGAAGTAATATAAAATATTCCTAATGTGGACACTAAGGGCTGGTTCACACTAAGACTCACAGAGGAGCTGCACATTCCTGTGCAATTCACATGCGGTTCAGTGCGGTGCGATATCAGCCGGTTCATTTTGAATAGGCTCAGATCTCACCGCACTGAACCAAAAGTAGTGCATGTACTACTTTTGGTAACTCACTAAAACTGGATCGCATGGTACCTCAGGCTAACACTGCGTTTGAGACCTGTGTTTCGGTACCGTTAACACTGACCCCCACTGCAGCTTGCACGGAACATGGGTTTTCCACACTGCACTCTGGTGTCAAGAAGGTCTGACAGCAGGAAAAGAAAACAAACCTAAAAGAACTGGCACAAGCATTGTTTTTTTTAGATGGATACTGTATATACTTTATTAGAACAATAACGTTTGGCCCCAGAGATTTCTATTGTTTATCTTGAATTGAGATTTATAGTCCAGTTGACCTGAATCCATGCATTTTGTTGCACAGTAAACTGGTCAGGTACAAAAGTGATAG